TCTTATTGGCTGTAGCTCGTTGCTCCTCGACACCAGCAGATATTGATCCTTATAGAGATATTTCTGCTGTCTGCAAGCTGATTGCATCTTTGAACAAACATTTGCCTCAGATCTGTGTTCAAATGTCGAACTAAAGTAGTTTGAACTCAGCTTTACTGAATAAAGACTTATTGCTAAGCAATCAGTAAGAAAGTAGTCATGTTTACATTTTGCATGGTTTTGTTGGATGTTCTTTACCTTGCTTCATGTTGTCGTCACTCTTAACGATCTTTATTGGTGTCAGAAACTCGCAGGAGAAAACAAAGTGAGCAGGCCGACCAATCACAGTTTTTGCTGACTTTATGAGGCGTTACATTTTGGGGGAATATGTCAGCTATAGTTTGTAGCTTTGGTGTAGCAATGGTGGCTAGTTGTGTGTGGTCTCTTGTTCTGTCGAACTCTTACGCATTACTACAAATTAATTTATGCCAGATCTGTTTCACAGCTCAGATGCACTCAGCATACCAAACATTTGGGTAAACTGCATATCAACCAGTTCATGTTGAGGATATCTGTGGTATGGATCAGTTATCCTGTTGTTCTGTGTTGAAGAAGCTTGATGTTATCTTTGTGAGAAACTACATGAAATTACTACCAGAATGGGCGTTATGAAGAAATGTCTGACATTTTCTGAAATGATTATGGTTTTTGTTTTTCAGGATGCTCTTTTTGAACCGTTGTACAGATGTATAAAAAGCGGGATCCGCCTGCCTTTTAGATGTCTGGAAACTGTTCATGGCTTCTACGAAGAGGCACAAAGGAATGGTGTCCCATCAGGACGGGGCAACCACCCCTGCAGCACCACCTGCTGGGGACCAACCCCCCACACGCTTCGTTGTTCGGAAACCAGGGAAGGCAAGTGAAGGTGGGATGGAACAAAGCGCCCGTGTAACCAATATAGAGGCGGATATGGTGGGTAAACCCAACATGGATCCACCAAAGGAAGCCATGAGGACTTCTGGTGGACTTCCTACTGTGAAACATCCTGCCAGTTCAAACCCTCCGTCGGACAACCTGTCACCTGATAGCATCTGCAAAGGCATCAGAGTGACACTGGACAACAACGGCATGTGGAACGAGTTTTTCAAATGCAATACAGAAATGATTTTGACTAAACAAGGCAGCAGGATGTTTCCCTACTGCCGCTTCCGAATCTCCGGTTTGCAGCCATCGAGGAAGTACTCTTTGATCATGGACATTCAACCTTTAGACAACAGTCGTTACAAATGGACCGGCAAGAACTGGCAAGTTGCTGCAAAGGCAGAATGTCATGTGAAGAGTCGACCATTCGCTCATCCAGAGTCTCCATCAACAGGTCAGCACTGGATGCAGAATCCAGTGTCCTTTTACAAACTGAAGCTCA